CACCAGAGCCTGACCCATTGGAAAGTAGGCACAGGCTGGGATACAGTCTGTATAGGATGGCAGCCTATCACATGGTACACAGCCTCTCATCTGGAGGACAATTTAGAGATGCAATATAGACAGCATGTCTATGGACTTTGGAAGGAAACCAGATAACACAAAACATCGATGGCACTACAAGAATAGCATGCAAACTCCACACAGAAGTCTCTCAAGCCAGAAACAAACCCAGAAGCAGAAATAATGTGGGGCAGGAGCTATGATCGCCACACTACCCCAACATATACAGTACATAAATTAAACCATACACTTTTGTATATATTTATACTATATAACATTTATATTTAAAAATGGTGCAGTACTTTTTGATGATTTAATATGATAGGGTTATGAGAATTATTTAAAAACTGGGTAGGTTCAATTGGAAAAACTGAACTGTAACAAGCCTTTTGTGAAAACAAGTCACTACAAAAACAGGCCTACTGTACAAAGCAATATTCCACAACAGGACATGTTAAAATATTGCCTGCCTGCAACAACAAATATACCTCTGGTTAAAAGGGGTAACATCCCTGTGAAGTGTATTTGGATGGGGAGCACGTAGTTTTCTCTAAAATAAGAAACTACCTTTTCAATATATGTTAGATTTCTTACTAACAATTAATTAAATACAACAAAACATGTCAAGAAATGTTGAAAGGAGGCCAAATAACATGAATGAAATTTTGAAATATTTATTACTCATAACAAAAAGTCACAAATTAATGTGATTCTGTACCTACAACACGAAAGGAGTTTCATGAATTCAAAGTAGAACTTACAACGAACATCAGCAGAGTATAAATAGCATTTGTTGGTTAGCATATACTGTATGTGGGTATATATTCTCAGTACAGGAAGCCTGTCTTATAAGCTTTCATTTCTCAAAGTAAGACGATGAGTCTGACTTTGGACTGGATATTTCATCTGATATCTTTGTTCAAGTTAAGGGTAAGTTACCACTTTACTTTAAATTAATAAGTTATTTTTAAAACACTAGTGGGTTAAATATTTTAATCATACTAGGGGACTTTTTCTCATGTTTCTGCATAATTTATTTTGAGGCAGTATTTATTTCAAGCAGGTATCGTGCTTTGCCTCTTTGTTGAGCCACAAAAAACTTGGTTAAGCAAGTTTTTTTTTTCCCATTTCTCATTTGTTCTTGCCCCTCAAAACTCAAGTATGGTTGAATTACCATAATATGTGCTTTTCAGCTGAAGGAAATAGACAACACTAAATTAAAGGTTTAAAGATATACCATTTTGAATACAAAATCTATACATTTTTTATTAGTTCTTCCTTCACAAGAGAAGAAAAAATGGGCACATTCATTTGAGAAAAGCACATATTGCCTTCATTTTATCTTATGGAGATTAAGTGCTTTCTAGAATGATATTTACTGTACCTTTAAAAATTCTAATTAATATAGCTACTATAATTTTTCAATGTCTTTTTCCATAAAACTTTAATAGTAAAAAAATGGTTTCTAAATCATTTTTTATAACAGTTATAAGCTATAACAAATATTGTTATAAACATTTGCTTTCTTCTTTGAAGCAAATTTCAAAAGTAATCCTTGAATCTAATAATCAAACCAAAATTGAAAGATGTCAAGGGATTGCAAAGCCTTTGAAAATTCAATTGAAATTGAGGTAGCTTTGCCTTATTTTTTGTGATGAATGTAGTCATGTTTTTCTTAAGAAAAAACATGTATTCTCACTGGATCACAACAGTCCCTGCTGTTAAATAGTATAACACTATGGGGTTGATGTGGTCGCCCTCGCTGCTTCCGCATCAGGTCGGCCCCCCACCGTCGGGGACTCGAAAGCGTCACTCAACAGGAACCCAGCCTCTTGAGCCTAAGGGAAATCTCCCCTCAGCCCGACGGCTGCGGTCCCTGCTATTCACAGGGAAGGGCGGTGACGTCACCGCGCTGGTAAACCGGCTCTTGCAACCAATGGTATGCGTTACAGTAGCATTCCCTAAAAGGGCTAATGATCTTGTGTCTAGAAAAAGGACGTGGGTGATGTTTTTTTGGATCACTTGTCATTTCATTCCCTAAATGACATTTGTAGTCCACATTCTAAATATGCCAGTGACTTCATCTTTCTCTGCTTGGGATAACAAAGAATGACCAATGGATTTGTAAATTAATGTTTGCTGTATTACCCAACTTCTTAACTGCCAACTAGTACAGTATGAAAGACTGCTGGTCAATAAGTAACATTTAGCATTACAGCACATTTTATCCTGACATTAGACAGTCATAGTGTCTCCCCCTTATGGTGCTATTCAAAGGTGGGGGCTTATAATAGCAGAAAACAGCCCATCCAGCACATTCTTGCTTTATGATGCTTTCTTACTAAATTTGCACTAATTTCTTCAAGGCACTTTCCCATTTACAATTTACTACCAATCCTCAGGCACAATATCTTTGAGTGGTGGGTTAAATTGCAGCTAAACACTTCAATTATGAGGCTGGGTGGAGACAGAGATGCCCCCTGAAACACTAGTTATATTCATTTACCTAAATATGTGTACAAAAAAACACAAATCTAGGTTTGCTAGTGGAAGAACTGTAAAAGCTTTGAAAGATGTCTTCCTTTACTTGACAGCCTTTTTTGTGTGAGCTTCTACTCTTATGTCTGTTGCTTTTGTAAAAAAATAAAGCTACAAAAACATATTTTCTAGGTGCGAACAAAATCTGACACGATAGGAAGAAGTGGAAAGGAATGAATGGCAGAAATTGGGAATCATCTATCTGTTCCAAACATCCAATGTTCAAATGAGGACCAGGTAATGGCTAAATAGTTTCAGACTACTTTTTTGTGGAATGGTGCAGAGAATGAGCAAATTCAGATTTGGCTTTAACTTGCTTAGTGGAGGGAACAATACAGGTACAGTAGCTTAGCTATGTTATTCAGACTGTCAGACTTCCTTAAAACAAAATTCTTCACCCAAGGTCAATGAGGAAGGTATGGGCAAGGGTTTGTCCCTTAGTCTGTGCCTTGTAGCTCAACAGACGTACATTCAGTAACAGGTTACTAACTACTGCCAGTATGTTAATATACTGCGAAATAGCTGGAGGCTTTTGACAATGCTGAAGAGATGGTTGATCAATTTCTGTCCCTATTATGTCCCTATATTAATTTACTATTAAAGATGGTTTACACAAGGTCAGCATGCCAAAAGAATAGAGAACATTGCAGCTTGGTTTGTATGGGGTTTGTCTTATCATTGTTTTCATTATCTACTCTTGCATGCAAACAGTGATCAATAAAGGTACAGTCTTGAAGGAAATTCTTTTCAATTGTAGAAGACAGATAGTTCTTCAATCGACACCTTTCAGGGCCTCTTTAGTCATTTACATTCTTGAGGAGTTTTCTGAGTATTTTCTCAGTGGGTCCAAATTATGAAAAATGCTCTCTGATATTAATATTTATTTCAAACGCCACTGGGTTGGATTTTTTCAAACCTCTTCTTGTAAAGTGCTCTAAAGAGAGATATTGTTTTGTTTAATGGCACTTCCTGTTGCTGTTGGGGATTAATAAGAGTTTTTTTTTAATCCCGTTTGATCAATTTTCATCAAATAAACTCTATCAAGTTTTTATTTGATTGAGTACTATTAAATTCCTTCTTTTTTAAAACATAGTGAAAACTGGCAGGGGATTTTCGCAAGTATGACTTTCAAGACTTGCTTGGAAATTTCCTGTACATTGCAATTCTTTTAAAAATCCTAATAACTTACTCAAAGTAAATAGGCTATCAAAGGTTAATGTTGCCTGCATGTTGCCAAATAGCTTTGTGCAGTATGTGCATTATTTCAATTAGCAATATTGTCTGCTACTTTAAAAAGACAAAAACAAACAAGTTGCAGCAGTTACAAAAAAAAAAGTTAATAGCAGAAATGGGATGCAATAGTGTTGCTGCTAAATATATTACAACATCTTTCATCACCTTTGCACAAGTCTGTCCTCTGGTTCTGAATGATGAAACTTATTTTGACCCTGGCAAGAAGCATCTCAATTTGAAATGCAACTTTATCACACTCTTAATCTGTTACTTTTCTGGACCTGTAGGTGGCACTGTTCTGTATTAAAAACAAATTTCCAAACCAGTGCCCAGTAATACAGTACACTATGATGATGGAGGTGCCATCTTTTAGATGAGACTTAAAACCAAGGTATTGACAACTTAGTCATTAAAGTTCCCATAGCACTATTCTTAAGAACAGGGAGTTACCTCTGATGACGTACTGTAGATAAAACCCACTCTGGGCTTGAACAATCTGGCCTTCCTAAATCTCCCCATTCATTAACATTTCAAAGTAATTTCTCACTTCTCCATTTGATCTGCTGTGTGGAGAGTGTCCAAGGAGGGTTTACTTTAACAATGAGCTGTTTCAGATCAACATTTCTGCTCTCTCTTTTTGAGAAATTAAAATTCAAGAAAGGGTTTTATTGTT